GTGGTGAGGTGTTCACGTGGTGTAGTAACTCGTCCTCGGGTGTTGATATGAAGGACCTCACGTGGTCATGGAGACACCAGGTGGTGAGGTGTTCACGTGGTGTAGTAACTCGTCCTCGGGTGTTGTGTGAGTGTGTGTGTGTGTGTGTGTGTACTTCAAGTAGAAAACAAACCATTTTAGTTTTTTGTTCAGAATAAAACTGTATACCTTAATTATAATAATAACAATAATAATAATAATAATAATAATAATAATAATAATAATAATAATAATAATAATAATAATAATAATAATAATGCCTAGCTAAGCACAGTGCCCTCCACAACACCCACTGACTTACCTGCAAAAATGGCCAGAGAGATGGCGAGTATAAACAGAGGTATCATCATCACTAGGGACCTGAAAGATAAATATTTAAATAAAAGAATAACACCTATTAATATATTTCTAGCTACAATCACCAGTTTATTAACAAACAATAATATATAATCTGGCGTGGTTGAAACTCCCCATCCCATTGTTTTTGAAACCATCGCCATGTATCCAATGTGCAGGGAACCATTGTATAAACCTCGCTATGATTGGCTGGATCTTCCTGTTTAACACATAATAAAGTTCATTCTGGTGTTGAGACATACGGTAGATATTTTTTAGTGAATTTTAACGTATTCTTATGCCTACCTTCCCTCTCTCTGGACCTACATCTATGTATACAGTGCAGTACAGAGTTGATGTATTTTTGTGTAGTGTATGGTAGGTTGTACTCACAAATAAGCTTGGGAGAGACTTTTGGTGCTGGCGAAACGCTGAACGGAGGTCTGTGAGCTGCCGTATTGAACGGCCGTCAAGAAGATACCTCCGATAATGATGTTGGCAACGGTGTGTCGTTTAAGGGGATCGTAGCCATATCTGTTGCAGTGACGAGGAATAACAAAGAATGAGGAACATACAACACTAGGGGGGAGGGGTAATACGAAGATTAGGCACTCTATTATTTCACTTGATGATTAACTAGTGTTACCTGTAAGGAAGGTTAGGTTAGGTTAAGTTAGGTTAAGTTAAGGGTTGATTAGGTTAAGTTAGGTTAAGTTAGGTTAGGTTAGGTTAAGTTAGGTTAAGTTAAGGGTTGATTAGGTTAAGTTAGGTTAAGTTAAGGGTTGATTAGGTTAAGTTAGGTTAAGTTAAGGGTTGATTAGGTTAAGTTAGGTTAAGTTAAGGGTTGATTAGGTTAAGTTAGGTTAAGTTAGGTTAAGTTGGGTTAGGTTAAATTAGGTTAAGTTATGTTAGATTAGATTAAGTTAGCTTCGGTGAAATAAGGTAAGGTTAGGTTAGGTTAAATTTGAGTAAGGTTAAATTAGGTTGGCGAAGGTTAGATTAAGTTATTTTAGGCTAGCTTAGATTATGTTAGGTTTGATTAAGTAAAGGTTAAAACAGATTAAACCGTACTTAAGCAAAAGCTAAACTTATAAAATATAAAACATGCTATAAATTCAACTCACGTATACGCCTGAGGTCCTGCCCTGTTATGTTTCACAGCCACCTCCCACACCTGCTGGACGCTACCTACATCTGCCACACCTTTGATGATGATGACAACAAAACCAATCATCAGGACACTAAGCTGCAACACATCAGTCCATACCACGGCCCTTATCCCACCCTGAACAACGCCGGAGAGAGATAGAAAATGATTAGGAATATTAACTACAGGTAAAAGTAGTTTAATATATGTAGGATGTACTGTTAGTGTTGTTTATTCTATACCTGTATTGTCTCTATGTATGTGTACTGTCTGTCTCCTTGTTTGACTATCCATCTATCTCTCACTTGGTACTATCTATTTACAAGGAAAAAGAAAACACGAAGTTCCCAAAAAGCGCTTTCGTGTAATTCACATCTTCGGGGGTGAGTACAGACTAAGGAGAAGTACAGAACAAGTTATATATATATACAGAGGAGGGTGAGATCAAGTCCACAGTGGTCAGGTATAGGTAATGACCCTACTAATCTCCTTAGTCCTTAGGTTAGGGTAAGTAAAGTTAGTGATATATCATAACATCAACTAAGTGTATTAACACCTAGAATAGACGCTAAAACAAATAATTATCAAAGCGTAATGACAACGAAAGAAAACAAACTATGGTTGTGTAAATAGTAGCGATGAGGCCGACCGCCAGGATGGAGGTCCAGAGAGGGATGTGAGTGAAGGAGGCGATGGCGAGCCCGGGGGTGTAAATGACGACCGACTGATACAACAACATCTGGACCACAAACATTCCCCCCGCCACACTCCTCACCCACCTGGAAGCGTAGCGATCTTCTAGGTACTGTTGGGGTCATAAACGAATATTAGTCAGGCACTAGTTAAAGCAATGGATATTTACATACTTTATTAGCGTATCATAGACTCCCCCCCCCCCCTGTGTAACCCGTGTCACCAAACAGCCAACCTATATGACCTTATAGCAAATCTATCCACCAATCACTTACGTCGTTACATGACTAATACAGTGATTATTACAGCAATGTTGCCGTTTGGAAACACGGATTACCACAGGGGGCGTATAAGCACATTTCCGCAACTGTACAAGTTTAGTGTATAGAAGATTCGTGCAACCTAGTCTAATACGGGTGAAGCCACACACAGCCATGTTGTTAATAATGCCTGAATGAATATAATAACCGCTGCCCCTCGTGTTGGAGGATGGCTAGGCCAAGAGCCAACGAAGAGTGAATTTTTTAAGGCGTAGAGTTGCATGGCCCAGTGTCAAGGAATAATCAAAGACCGGACAACTCACCAACTGCACTGGCTAACTATTATCCTGGAAAGTGATCAGCAAATTGATTAACATCCAAGTCACCAATTACTGCTGGATAGACAGAGGCAAATGGCGTTAAGAACTTCCCCATAGTTTCACCCTGCCCGGAGAGAAGACCTTGCTGATCACTACACTACAGGTCGCCATAATATTATAACGTGATCGTGGGCCCTTCGTGCCCGGTGGCGAGTCCCGTGGTACAGTTTACGGAGGCGTGAAAGTTCGAACGCTCGTGCTTGGTTTGCGAGCAACGGCCCTCCCGCTGACAGAGTACAACGACATCGTTTTCCAGATGGTCGTGGTTGTTATAATCATGGTCGTGGTTGTTATAATCATGGTCGTGGTTGTTATAATCATGGTCGTGGGTGATATAATCATGGTCGTGGTTGTTATAATCATGGTCGTGGTTGTTATAATCATGGTCGTGGTTGTTATAATCATGGTCAAGTGATATAAATCA